GGAAAGTGAAATGAACCCCCTTTTCAGAACACAGGATAATATCGAGCGAGCTTATTCACGTTTAGGTCCAGTAGATTATATGTTTCTAGATAGTCTCAATCCTTTTTTCTTTATTGGGATCGCGCAGGATCGTGTATTTTGCCCATAAAGTAATGGCTTTTTGCACCAGTGCTAAGGCAGCAAATGGTTTGACAATGCTTAAGTTTTAAATACTTTTTCTTAGGCTATTTTAAGCCCTAGACCTCCGTATTTTCTTAGTTGAAATTTATAAAGATTTTCGAAAATGGAGGTATGCACAGTGGCACATCCGTTTATTCTCTCAAATACAAGAATATTTAGATTGAAACGCGAAACTCAGTCCCAAGTGAAATTTAGATCAGCCACCTTTCGTGCATTTTAAAACTAAAAGCCCTGTCCCATGAGCCGCGATCCTGCACTGTGTCGCCTGAAGCAAGAGCTATCTAACGTCGCGTGAGAAAACCCGATTTTATTGCTTTTTTACATGTGTGGGTTGCCAATCTACTTGATTTAAGTAAATAAAAGTCTCAGTTATGACGACATGCAGTCGGAAGTGCCGTAAGACAACGGTATAGAGAAGGAAACTGTCAGTAGACTGTGGATCATGTCATATGGGGTTTTATTTTGGCATACATTCGCAGGCTGTTGCAACAACGATTACTTTCCAAAACCTCATACCTTAACTAAGAATCCGTCGCTCTGTGAAGTTTACTTTTTTCTTGTTGTTTAATTTCTACTCTCATTTACGTTGTCTACAATAGCGTAAAATAAGACCTTCGACATAGATCCAGGCAATTCCTGTGTTCAGAAGAAGAAGCGATCACTGGCACAAGGGCCTTATTGGCCTGACGTTTCAAATTCTCACTTGAACCAATCATCAGCGACACCCTTTTCTGCCACTGTCCCTGATGATGGGTTCAAGTGAGAATCCGAAACATCAGGCGAATAAAACCTTTTTTCCAGCGATCGCTTCTTCTTCTTCTGAGCAATTAGTCCCTGGAACTCGCATCTTCATTTGTATCGTCAATTTCTATGTTTTCTTTCAGTTTGTCAGCTTACTGTCTAGCGCGCTGCCCCATCCATAAAACCCCTTTACCATAAATCACGTAATGGCACAATCCACAGTCTACTGGCAGTTAAGTGGGATCCTTCTCTATACCGCTGTCTGCCATAATAACAAGTAATATACGACGATAACAAATGTGAATTTAACAAAAAGTCCTGCAGTCAAAAAGCGTTGAGCTTAAGGTTTTCTCTCAAGCCGCTGACTTTTCTGTCCAAGTCAGGTACGCTGTAACCTGAACAGCAAAATTCAATAAGTACATCATAGCAGCAGATCAGTACTCCTCTTTTTTGATTCAATGTTCCAGATTACGACTACTATGGCAACGTTTCTGATGAAATGGGCAGAACTTGACACGGCATGGGACCAGTATGAAGATGACATAGACCGTCAGTAACGAGCCCGACTGATGCCTACAGTAAAAGTAGTTATTTCTGACACACTGTTTAACATTTGCACACATTCTCCGTGCGTAACAGGATTATGGTCGTACGGTCCACTATGATGACTGCAATACCGCAAATTTGGTATCTTTTCACAGTCAAAGCGTACGGAAACATTTGTACACCACGATTGAAAGTCTCTTAGGCAAAATATTTTTAGCTGCGTACATTTTATTTTACATTTATGTCTCAAAAAACAGCATTAGAGTATGGAGACATCTCGACATTCTTTAAAAAGCTTTTGCCATAAGGGAGCCGCTTTTGGAAAATTTCGAGATGGATAAATTTGGTCAGTCAATCACATATATAAGTTTATCTGTCCGTCACGTTACGGTTATCATATCATATCATTAGATATTTAAAACTTGAAGGGAACTTTTTGGAAGTTAAGGTCATTTCTTAAGAGAAAATTGGCTTAGAAAAATGCAGGATCATCCTTCAAGATTTATAACTATGACCATTAATTGCTAAAGCTTTTTAGTAAATTATACACACTGGCATTTGACATAACACTCGACTGAAATTCATGGAAGGTTTAAAGGTGTGCTTTTCAGTTTTTCTGCCTTGGAAAGTTAACCGCAATCATTTCTTTCTAACCATTCAAATGCGTTTTTCTCTTCTCATGCAAAAACGGAATACCAACCCAACCACCGGTAACTTTTTCTTTCTAGTATTCGAAAAATGTCGCAAGAACTCAACCCCTACCTATGCGGCCAAACAGCCAACGGACATTCCTGGCATGGGTCAGCCTCCTTGAGCTTATTCGGACACAGGGAAGCAGCAACACGAACAACTCGCGTGTCATCTCAGAGCACATCACCCCTAGCGTCACCATTAGCATAACCAGTGATGATGCTTTTACCACCCTACAAACACCAGCGTCATCATCATCCCTGCAACCACCAACCTGTCACCATTGCGGCCACACATTCGAATCACCCAACTGACTGGCTGATCACATGCCCATTAATCGATGGGAGACCGGTGCACCGCTGACTGGAGCCCCGTCGTACACGCTCCAGCTGCCTGCGCTGCCACGGACCTCCAGAGATCAATTAGCCCATTTGCGCACACACGACGGCGGGTTTCGCCGCAGCTTCACCAGCACCCTGCACCTGAGACCTCCTCCAACACGTACACTTTCAAGCCCGCCGCCAGTGCCGCCATCATCACCGTCACAATCTCACTCTGTCCTTGCTGCCACCAGGTGAACAACGATGACACGTGACGGTCTGATTGGTTGCCTGAGTATTCAAAACCCTGACACTAACGAACCTGTGGCGGAAGCCTCGACATACACCCACACCCATTCAGCGGTCGCATGGGTCTGTTCGGCCATATGCGTATCCGTGAAAATTCTAGGTGAGAACCACAATCCTGACTCCATCCCAACATCTCCAAATGAACGTCCACACATGCATATCTAAGTCACGTATGAACCTACTCCATAACACGTGCATATACTCCACCCAGCTGCTCACATGTCGGTCTCCAGCGATGCACTTTGGCGGCGAAACATTGCATGTCAGAACATGCAAATATCAGGCGGTGTGGTGCATGTCATTCTGTGTGCCTTGGGTAGATAAAGTGTGTATGACAGGCGAATACTCCATGCCTATCTTCACAAAGTGCCGTGCTGGGTGCCCTGGACAAAAACAGTGGTCACAACGGGTCACGGCGCGCGTTAACCAAACAACACAGGGTTGATGTCATTCCATAACAGGACAGCTCGACCGTCTTTGCTGAGGACATCCGCCGTGTGCTCCACAGAAATGTGAGATTAGAGACGCCAAACTGTGTATAATTTAAATTATAGTGGCAGTAAACTTGCACAGCATCCACGGCACTCTCTCCTCCTCCTCACCCACCTGGACCCCGTGCCAAGACAGAGTCGAGAAGACCAAGGGCGGGGGAGGGCCCAGGTGGATGACATCGTCAAGCTTGCACCTTGGCGCTCAACTCCACACCCCCTGGTACCCCTGGTCAGGTTTTTCCAATCAACAACAACAATGGGGAGGGGGTCCCAGTGTGTCCGACGGCTACCGGCAACCGGGTCTGCCACCACACACCGAAATTTTGGCATTTGTTATGGTATAAAATCCGATAACTCTTGCCAGAATCCGGTATGACCCCCGAGTTGGTCCAACGCATCCACGGCCTATCGTCGTATGTTCAGGCTCCTCAGATTGAGCTTAGGAAGAAATACGCTGATTTATCGTGGTGACAAGTGTCGGTCTCATTCTTCCCTCTCTAGCTCGGGCAGCAGCCAATTGTCCGAACCCGTCAGTTATGTTGAGACGGGATTGGACTCAGTGGCTGGTGAGGCGTAAAGACTACATCTAGGCGTGTCATCACATCCCTGTGTGCGACAGTAGATACGCTAGATGCACTGCCGCACACAGGGGTGTGATGACACGCCTAGGTGTAGAATTTCCGCCTCACCAGCCACTGAGTCCAATCCCGTCTCAAAAGGTCTGAGGGGCTTGGACACTTGGCCGCTGCCAGTGTATTTAGGTTCCTAAAAAGTTTTGCAATTCCCGAATAATTTTCAGCCTGATCTGCCATTGCATCAGCATTTAGCAATTTCAGTCTACAAGGTGCATGTTTACCGCGTAAGGAAAAGCATATATTCCTCTACGCCTTTAAGAAGATTCCACATAGAGTTCATGAAATTCTGCAATGGATCTGGACCATGTTGTACATTTCATGAGGAGCATTAGTAACCGGACATATGCGGGCTTGCATGCATAGAAATCGCACGGTCTTAAAAACTTATAATTAGAAACTTTTTTAAAACAAAAAGATTCACTTTCTTCGGGCATAAAATACAAAAACAATGTGATTTCCTTCCAAATGAGCCATAGAAAACATATGGTTGTGCATGTTTTCTGTAGACTATATTGAAATTTATAAGATCATCGAAAATCAATAGGACAAATGCATGCTTCTTAACTAGTCAATTTTTACCGAGTGTGGTTTCTGCAGGAGGCCATAAAGAAGTGCATTCAAAGTCCGACATCCTGATGAATCCGGAATGTTATAGGATTATGCGGCATGATAATCAGTATAACAATCCCACTTAAGTAATCCTGCCTAATTCGAAACGTATTCCTGAATTTTGGCCAACATTTCATGAAATCGGTCACACACTGTTATGCTCACAGAATTTTTTTGGAGAAATTAAACGAATGAGCGTCAAGCTACAAAGGCATCTTCTTAATGTGGCCTCGATTGCACGCCCACGCTTGTGGCATTAGGGCCGCTCTTACTGCGGCCTGGCATAAACTTTCGGGATCAGGCCCAGACTGCCAGTTTGGCCTTGTCAACTATTGCGCCCGAGCGCACCTCCGATCGTCCTGATATTGCCTTTCACGGGTGAGGGATGAGAGAGAAGTTAGTGGATGATGCATGAATCTTCCTCACTATAAACCAATACACGCGCGAGTCACCGGCTTTGCGCCTACTCTGTAGGGTACTCAGTAAACGTCTTCAAACGGGAGGCTTAAACTGCCGCCATCATCATCATCATCATCATCATCATCATCATCATCATCATCATCATCATCATCATCATCATCATCATCATCATCATCATCATCATCATCATCATCATCATCATCATGGTTGTCTTTCAGACACCACGCTTTTCTTCTGAAATTTCGAGTGTTCAACACGCTCTGCAGTGCATCCCACCGTACATTCTAGCAAAAGCAGGATTCTTCACCGACAGATTTATCCCCCTCTGGCCTGTGATATAGAGATGAGATGGTGAAGGAGTCGTAGATCACGCTCCCAACTAACATAAGAGGTGCCTATTCATTGCGTGACTGCTGACGGGACCTCGGGAGTGGTTTCACCCGTACAGGACTGAGAGGAGTGGCGATCGCCATCTTCAACGTCTTCAAGGGATCGTGGCAATGATGTGCGGCGCGGAGGCAATAAGACTTTACTCACCGGTGGTGGAGTCGACCTCTGTGGGTGCCATGGCGACGGGGTGACGGGGCGGGAGCGTTCTCATTGGTGGCATGTTGTTGCTGTACTGGATCCGAAAATGTCCGAAGAGGACAATCCAAACGCGAAATATTCGTCGGCAGCTTGGACACCTTGGAGGTGATTGCATCGTGGGGCTGAGGGTCCTCAGCCTTTGCGACTTGCGAGTCGCTCTGTTGGTTTCGGCAGCGGTGGTGCGAGGAGCTTCGTAAATTGATGCTCCAGTCTTAAATGCCCTTCTCCAAGTCTGTTGATCCTGGGTGAAGTCATCCCAGGTGTCCGGACTGATTTTCAAATCCTTGAGGTAGGAACCTTGGATTTCCATGCAGCGCCGTCGCCATAGAAGAGTCGACTGGGTAGGTGCTTGTCATCTATCCGCGCAGTTGCCTCAGCATGGTGTGGATGGCTAAGATTCCGATCAGCTCCTGGACTTCTGTGTTCCTTATCTTGTTCTGCTGCTTCAACATTAGCATCCTGTGCAGACAACTAGGGTGAACGTTATCCAGTATCCTGGTTTGGTTCTGCGTGAAAGATCTATGCCCCGCGTCGTGCAGCAATGTCATCAGGGTTGTCGCCTTGTGCGTCTTGATTGTGGCATTCAGATGAGGTCCTCGCGATTGCAGACTGAAGTTTATAGCAGGTTGAGTGCCAGGCTGACTGTGGAGATCCGATGAGTTACTTTGCCATAGACCCTCGCACCTATAAGACTGTTCTCCCTAGACACGTAACTATGTCCACAGTAGCGTGTGGCATGTGGTCCTCCGAAATCCGTGTCTGGTGACGTTTGTTGCACAACCGCCTTTTTGTCGTATTGATAGTCAGTCCGAAGTCAGCGCAGCCATAGAAGGGTGCTGACCGAGTACGTTAGGGAACTCACTCGTTCCGTGAAGCTCTCACTCGAGTCCGCCAGCAGCCGTACAGTGACGCGTAATATAAGCACACCGCGGGGATGAATATGGCTGGCTGGCGACGGCTTATCGGCCAGAAATAACCGTTTCGGTCCCCATTGTCTTTGCCAGTAATGCCATTTTGCCTATAGGCGAAAATGTGTATGATCCCTTGCATGACTGCCTCCGTCGTTGTATTGAGCGAACCGTCACCCCCGGTCGTGTGCACTGGTGTGGGATACTCTCGGGCATGTTTGCACCCACCGTACGTTGAGAAGTTTTTTTCGATCTGGTAGGCGATTCTGACTCCTGATTGCTAGTCATCGTACTTCATCCAATCAGACGCTCCACATACTTCCAAATTAGTCCCACTGTCCGTAAAATGAACCATCTTTCCGTCGCGTATCTAGCACATCATGTGCGCGTGGAGCCCTCCAAACATCCGGAGTTCGGCATGATCTTCTAGAACACCGCCGCGAAGATCTACAAAGACTGTGTAGAGACTTGTCAGCAGCAAAGATCATGTCAGTAGTTCCGCGGTGTCGTCAAAAACGATACTTGCTTTCTGGATGAAGCCTGTGCTCCAGTTAGTGGTTGGAACGGTTTTGATAGATGCGAGCAAATGGCTTCCCGGGAGCGGTGGGCAACGAGTTTACTCTGTGATTGTCATACATCAGTCGATTGCCCTTGCTCCTGTAAATGTGTACAAGCAAAATTTTGGGTACTAATCAATCATACCCCGCATGCTTACTTCAGCTTTGTACCGGGGACGAAATGCTTCAAAAGCCTCTCTGAAGCATTGAAAGACTTGTCCATGCGCCCAAGTCCTCGCGACATCGATGTGAGTTTGTCTGTCAACCGACGACTGTCGTTCTTGTAGAGTGTGGCTGGAATTGTGCCGGATTCAGGTGCTTTTCTGTTGTTGTAGATGTTTCTGGTAGGGAAGCCAAGAGGTCCGTATCGTTGTTCTTTTTCAAACAGGGGTCTGGCCGAGTCAGAGATGACGGATAGACAGTTAAGGACGGTTCTGAAGTGCACACCTCAGTGCTCCTGGGATGTTGTTCCGTCGGAGCTGAGAGGCGGCGCGTTTCCTCTGATGCAGGCGCATAAACTGTTTATGTGGAGCGATGAGATTCATCGTTTTAACTGTGATCTGCGTATCCTTGTATTTCCTCGAACCTGCGAACCACCCCAGGCGTCTTGCTTCTCCCACAGCCGTCGTTTTATCAGTTAAGCAGCTGCATCTGAAAAAGACCAGTCCTGTGGTTGGTTGCTGCTGGACACGTCTATAGAAATCGTTGTCGCATTTGAATATGAAATGTGGCATACCTAGAAAAGGGTGGTCGTACTTGTGCGAAGAAACTTTATACAGACTATGAATATAAATGACAGTAAGGCCTTTAATATTAATGGTTTGGATATGCATGGCTATTTGTGCATGAGAATTCGAGCGGTAGCAGTAAGCCAGGGAAATCAAAATTTGCAACTTCAACTTTAAATAAATGTCAATCAAGTAAAAAGTAGAACTGTACTTACAGTCACCATACACTGATTCCCCCACAAATACCAGAAAGTTCAATCCGTGGGTGTTTTCAAAATTCACAAAAATCAGTTAAAATTTTCTTTTACATGAGTTAATACGCAAGTCCACTAGTTGTCTAAGACGAGACCGTGAGAGTGCGCATTCGTAGCATTTAGAACGCTCGGCCCTTACTGAAAATAAACTGCAAGTTAGCCCACTATTAGGTTTGTTTTTACCGTCCCAGTATGGGAGATATAGAATAAAATAAGTTTTTCCGGAGTTAATTTAAAGATAGTGAAGGCAAATGTTATTTTCGCGACCAATATAATTTGAAGCGGATTAGTTTTTAAGAGAGCATTCAATTTAACTTATATTTTCTCCCAATAAATCAATTGTAACTTCACCCAGAGGGGCATACAGTGTGTATTTGTTACACTCATGTGCTATTCAAATGTAAGTTGGTGAGAATTGTGATTTTTCTAAATCGAAATGAAAACATTGGCGGCAGGTTCAACAAGTTATAACATTTAAGTTCAAGCACCCACTCCTCTACTTTTTGTGCAAAACATGCTGTCAACCTAAAAAGAAAAATCACAGACGAAGAAATTAGACATCTGATTAAGACTATGACTTGCTACTACTGTCGGCGGCTGTTATTATCTTCGATAATTTCCAAGAATAAAACATACTGACTGAATTAAGGCAGAATTCTACGATGATTGAACACTTCTGTTTCAAATTAAAAAGATGTATGTCTCTTTTACGTTCGACACGGTGTTTATCGGGCTAACGGCAAGGAAGGGTCCGACATGTGTCCATAGACAAAATTTTCCAATGGATAACTTGGATCTATGGCTATGGGCGTGTCGAAAATTGCCAAAAAACTAATAGGATTTTGCCTTTGCTGATACCAAAATCATCACGCGAGGAAACATTATCAACGCCAACTAGACACTAGAGACTGTGTGCAGGTTTAAATCCCTACGACTCATGTGTGAGTTCCCAAGTCCACGATAGACACCACTAGAGAGGAAAGTGGACCTGATCCGTGAGGTGAAGTGATCTGCTGATGTAATGAATTGACAGTTCGGCACGAAGTGCCCATGCGGCGTCCAAAAGCGTCCTGGGTAATACCATGTCTACGTTAGCCTTAGGATATAATTGTTGTGACTGACCGCAGAACATACAGGGCCTCGCGCTGTCAGGGTTCGCCCAACTGCAATTACAGCCTCACTGGACGGCCGACAAATCCGCTAGATATGAACGTATTAGGGTATAGTTAAATGATAACGTGAAGTACTTGAAGTGCTCCAGGTAGCCGTCTCTCAAACATACACACACATAAAATATCATTCAGTTGTAAACTCCAACTTGTCTGAGAATACACCGGTGCCGGCGTTCTGTCCCGAAATTTCGATTTCGAGTGCGCCCAAACAGTATCACGCCAACAAGCAAAGAATGATCGACCAGTGTCGTTGTCATGGCACACTACAACAATACTGATTGGACTAACATCCGCTGTCCGATAGCCACAATAAAACCACGGGCTTGGGCGATCCGAGAATCAGACCCTCCTTCTGTGCACACTGAACCCTTTACTCACGGGCTCATTCTGCATCTCATGCAACGAAAACATTCATAGTCACATTGTTGTGGTGTTGGCTGATCGATTCTGATTTCAGACGTGCTTCATTTAGGCAGACAATAACGAAAAAATGACCATTTCGGGTCTTCTCTGTCAGACGGTTATGTTATATATGAACTAGTCTCGGACGCATCCTGCAGGCAAAATTAGCCATAGTTAGAAACTCTTTTAATCCACATGAAAGTTCGAAATGCACCTTTTCTGCGGCCTGGTTACTATTTTCGTAGGCGTTTCTCGTTTCTATCTCCATTATAAAGAAGGAGAATGCTCATTTTATTTTTCCATGAGTAAGTAGTATTTTATTCTGCCTTGGTGTTGTGCTGAAGAACTTTTCGTCTGCTATGTCTGATGACGGTAAATACCTGTTCCATCTTCATGAGAGCGGAATTTAGGATAAATGCCGAATTACTCAGTCCGTGCTGGATCAATTAGCCACTTCGTTGATTAAAGACCGAAAGGATGATATGCCTCTTAACAAATTCCCTCAGGCCTTACTTGGTTTTCGTCGTAGACAATGTGCGCAGTCTGTGATCATTACAACAACCTTATCTGTGACCCTTACCTGCGACTGCCTCTGATGATGGGTTCGAGTGAGAATCTGAAATGTCAGGCCAACTAATTTCTTGTTCCAGTGATCACATCTTCGTCTCCTGAATTACAACAGCTGCTTCACAGGACATGCGTTGGCACTTTGATTAAAAACGGTCCGTTAAAGAAAGTTCTTCTATCTTAAATTGTGTGAATTTTCGTTTCAACTACCAAGCATTCTAACGTTCTGAACGCGCAATATGTCCTAGCCAACTCGCTAACCACTGACCTGTTTTTGCGTTAACTTGGCTCACTAACGGATGTCGTTGGCTGCAGACCGTTATCCAAAAGAAGCACCTGTAAAACACCTTGAAAAATTGCACGCACTGACTATCATGTGCTGACCTTAGTCAGCCTGCACCTACATACGATAATTAATGTCCCCCAGTGCGCTGCCAAACTGGCTTGATACCCGTACCCTTCAGAAAAAAGCCTCTACATTTTAATGCCGCACCCAGTCGTTAATCCAACGAAATATACGTGGTGCAAAGTTTGCCGTGAATCAGAAAGCCAGAAAAAACATCTAATAGGACTTTGACAGAGGCGATCCTAACGGAGACCGTAGAAAATTAGTGACACGGGTTTTTTTCGTATTCGGCGCGCAGAAAATCCGTTAAAGTGGACGTGAAAACTCTTCATCCAGACAAAAAAGCATATGCCCTGGATCAACTATGGGTTCAAGG